TATTTATTGCAGCTTTGTTCACAATAGCAAAGAGTTGGAAACAACCCAAGCGCCCATCAACAAGTGAATGAATAGAGAAGCTGTGGTATATTCACACAATGAAATATCATGCAGCACTGAAAAACAAAGAACTCATGCAATGCTATAAAAAATGAGTGACCCTGGAGGACATTATGGTGAGTGAACTATCTCAGTCACAAAAAAGACAAATATGGTATAATGCCACTGCTATAAAACAGGACTGACATGGGGGCTGGGGTTAAAGTAAGAAAAGAGGGGATAAATACTGTACACAAAATTGAAACAGACAAGAGAGAGAACTGTATAAAAAGAATATATGATTAGGTATTAGTGGCATGACAAGAGTCCAGAATAAGAGATGCATAGTAAAGTGAACTGGGATGAAGGGTCTGTATAACAATGAAAGAATTTCTTTTTTTCCCAAAGAAAAATGCTAACTGGGGGCATGGAGGAAAATGTGCAGCAATGAGTGAATGGAAATTCAAGTTCTCTATAAACTTTCATTAAAATCTCAATAAATAAAAAACTCTTAGAAAAAAGAGTGATACTTTAGGACCTATTTCTTAGCAAAGGTGTAGTTAAAAAATAGAGAGAAAATAGAAATAGGACTTTATAAAAATAAAAAACCCTTTGTTTAACAAAGAAGTTTATTAGCAAAATGAAGAAACAACCAACAAAATCCAAGACATTTCAGGGAACCATATATCTGATACAGATTCAATATCTAAAATATGTAATAAAAGAATTCCTTCACTTTGACCATGAAACACCCAAACAATCAAATAAAAAAAAAATGATCAATAGACATTTTACCAGATGAATAGACATTTCACCAGAGAAGTAGCAGTATTCAACAAGGCAATTATAAAATGCTCATTGCCATTAGGGAGATGCAAATAAAAGCCACAGTGAGATATTACTTCATACCCACTAAGATATGATTAGAAAAATGGAAAACAGCAGGTGTTGGTGAGATGTGGGGAAATTAGAAACTTCATCCATTGCTAACAGTATTGTAAAACCATGCAACCACTTTGGAACATAATCTGATAGTTCCCCAGAAATTAAACACCAAATTAACACATCATCCAGCCTTTTTATTTCTAGACAAATGCCTCAAAGAATTGAAAGCAAGAACTCAGACATAAACAGTGATTTTCACTGCAGAACAGGTCATTATAATCAAGAGATGGGAATAGCCTAAAATCAAGCCAGCAGATCAATGATAAATAAAATGTGAATCATATATGTGATGGAATATTACTCAGCTCTGAAGAGACATGACATTCTCATACATGTAGAAACATGGCTGAACTTAGAAAATATTATGTTTCAAGAAATAAGCTATTAATAAGTGGAGAATATTGAATAATTCACTGATATAAAACATTCATAATAGGCATGCATATAGAGACCAAAGTTTATTAGTGATCACCAGGGGCATATGGCATGGAAGGGGAAAGGAAGATCAATGCGAAAAGGCATGGAACTTTTGTAAAGGGTTATGGAAAAATTTGGAAACAGATAATGGTAACAGTTGAATAGTGTCATGGATATAATTAATATCAACTGAATTATATGTATAAAATGACAAATGTTTTATAATCTATATATATTTAACATAATTTAAAACTCCAATTCTATGTTGCCTGTAAGTGAAGAGGATATGAAATGCTTGCTGCAGAAGATCAAGGATTAAAGCCTTCATTAGAGATCGTATCATAACATCAAGAAAAAAAGGTCATCATTACAGAACCCCAACAGTCAATATTATTATAAATGGAAAAAGGATTGAAGCTGTCAATTATTTCATATTGCTTGGATAAAAAAATCAACACCCTTGGGATTGGTCATGAAATCAAGATATGTATTGCATTAAGTAGGTCCTCTTTCAGGGACCTCTATAGAATGTTGAGGAGCAATGATGTTAGTTTGAAGACTAAGGAGTGTCTGATTCAGTCCATGGTCTTCTCAGTTACCTGGTATGCATCAGAGAGCTGGCCAATGAATAAAGATGATAGAAGAAGAATTGATGCTTTTGAGTTGTGGTAATGGAAAAGAGTGCGGAATAGCTCACGGACTGCCAAAAGAACATACGGATATATATGTCTAGGGGAACTAGCAGCCAAAGTGCTCCTTGGAAGGAAGACTCCCAATGGGATAGATTGATGTGATGACTTCAGGAATGGGTTCTAGTGTATCAGTGGTGATAAGAATGGCACGAGATAGGGCATTGTTCAGGCCAGCTCTTCATAGGATTGCTATGATTTGTACTCAACTCAGTGACACACAACAGCAACAATATATGTAACGTAAAGATAAAGAAAAAAAGTTAAGTAATGGAGAAAGCGAAGTCATTCAATATCAGTAAAAGAAACATAATACGCTTATATAAATTGCTAACAGAATATATTTAAGGCAGAAACCATTACTGGATATGGAAAAAAGAGGGTCTATGCGTTTACTATTGCCAAAGGGGCCCTTTAGAGTAGTGAGAGAAGATCTCCACCCTGAAACCGATAGCGTCCCTTTTCAGCAAGGAAGTAGCTAAGAGAATACACCATCCCCTTTTCCTTATGAATCAGGGTGAAGTTTCTCTCAGAGAGGAGTGATAGGGAATGGCAAAAGATACACTGACAAAGGAGATTAATCAGAACTGGCTTTGACAAGCACTGTGGCAATGGGACAATTAAAACAGACTTTCAAGGGGGGAAAAAAAGAGGAACGAATGGGGAGGGTGGGTAGAGAAAATAGTGCAACAATGAATGAATGGAAACCCAAAATATCTGTAAATGTTCATTAAATTAATAAAATTTAAAAAATGATAAAGGAACAATTCACTTAGGAGATATGATGATTTTGTAGTTGTATATATCAGCGTAGGAGAGGAAGGCTCGCAACGGGGTGGATGGACACAGTGGACTCATATGTTGGAGGTAGTGAGGGTAGCACCGGATGGGACAAGGCTCAGATCTGTTGTTCAAAGGGTCACCATGAGGAGTAGTCAACGTGACAGCACATAACAAAAACAACAACGTGTGTAGTAATATAACTTCAAAATATATAATGCGAATATTATAGACCGTCAAGGAAAAACAAATTCACAATCCTCAGGAGATATTTCAATTTGCCAGTAATTATGGGATAATTTATTTGTCAGTAATTTATTGGTAAGTATGGAGACAAAAAAACTTTAGAAAATATATTGGATGTGTGTACAAAATTAGTAACAAGCATAATAGAGTTTATGTTATGAACATATGTGAGAGGACTGTAGCTGACAACTTCAAAATACACCACTTTTTCTGGGTCCACAGTTCACACTTACAAAAACTGATCCCAGAGAGGGTCACAAAGAAAGTCTCCACAAACATCAAGGGGTGATCATGCAGAACCTGTTCTCTGATCTCATTATTCTAGAAATCAATAACAGCAAAAGAATTTAATAATATCTAAGTTTCTGATTTAAGATGTATATATATAAATATATACAGAGGGGAGATCTCATAACAGAAATAAATGTATATTAGTATATTTCAAATGGAATCCTTTGATCCTTGTCAAATTGTGTATAAAAATATGGGAGATGGAGGTAAAACAGGTTCTAGAAATTCTAGAAAGAATTTCAAAGTCTTATGTGGATGTACTGCTCAGGAGAGGGCAGGTTTCAGAGCTGTTGTACGTAACAGGGTCACTATGAGTTGCAGGCAACTCAATGACACGTAATAACAACAACTGAAAATAAGACAGTTTGTAAAGTACTCGTCTCAAGTAAGGAGAAAAATCTAAAGAATGCAAAAGGATGGAGACACTAAAATTAAGAGTAAATATCAGTCAGAAACCAAATAAGACTAATTAATTTGATAAATGCTTAATAAGAGTGCTTAAAATAAGGCAAAATTAAAAGAAATTATTAATAATAAATACTATAGTAATGGGGTTTTGATTAAGATATTATCTCACCCCAGCAAGAATAGCAAACTTTAACAGAGCAGAAAACAACAAATGCTGGCGAGGTTGCAGAGAAACTGGAACCCTTGTTCACTGTTGTGGAAGTGTAAAATGGTGCAACCACTGTGGAAGGCTGTATGGTGCTTTCTCAAAAAGTTGCAAATAGAAATACCATTTAACTCAGCAATTCCACTACTGGGAATATACCCTAAAGAAACCATAACTGCCACCCGGGCAGATATATGCACACCCATATTTATTGCAACTTTGTTCATGGTAGCAAACAGCTGGAAACAACCTAAGTGCCCATCAACAAATGAATGGATAGGGAAACTGTGGTATATTCACACAATGGAATTCTGTGCTGCATTGAAAAACAAGGAACTCATGCATTATTCAAAATGGGTGACTCTGGAGGACATTATGCTGAGTGAAATATCTCAGTCACAAAAGGACAACTACTGCATAGGGCCACTGTTGTAGAACGGGACTGACATCGGGGTTGGGGGGAGACTGAGAACAATTGGATCAATCATGCATACTGCATTGAAACAGATGAGGGAGAGAATAGTTTATAAGTGATGTATGATTGGGTATTATGGTTATGACAAGAGGCCAGAATGAAGATTGCATAGTAGAGTGCACTTGGGGTAGGGGAGTGGGGAGATTATATACCAATGAAGGAATTTTTCTTTTACTTTTCAAAGAAAGGAGCAAACTGGGGTCGGGGGAGGGTGGACAAGGAGACAAATGCAACAATGAGTGAATGGAAATTCAAAATCTCTGTATATGTTCATTAAAATGAATAAAATAAAATTGAAAAAAAAAACCCCAGTAATAATGGGGTTATTACTACAAATGGATCAAGAAGACCTCCTAAGCTGATGAGTAAGCCAACATGGAAGGGCAAGCACAGTGCTTCTCACTCTGCTACTTATCGAAAGATAATGGTTTACGACGGTGGTCATTTTGGGGAATTTTTACTTCCCATGGAGAGGGCAATCTAGAATGCTACATCAGCCTCTCAGATGACTCCTAGAAGTGGTGCTCCCAGCAGCACAGCACAGGCCTCTTTGGCAGAGTTGGCAGGACCTGTGAAGTCAGGCCCACGTAGTCACAGTCATGTCCAAGTGCAGTGTCGTGACCATACAGCACTGCACTTGGTGCTGGAGGCACTGCAGGCGGAGGAGCAGCAGCAGGGCACCTTGGCCGTCAAACAGGGCACCGGGCAGAAGTACCTAGTAACGTGTGTCATCTGGCTCAAATCAGATGGAGCGGGGACAGGTTCTAGTTAAAGCATCTCCTGGGCCTCCTCATTTGGCCTCTTACCTCCAAGGCCAAAGGAGCCACTGGGAGCTTCAAATTGGTTTTCGAGGGGAAAAAAATCCACTCCAGAAAGATATCTGTCATCATGATCACCAGGAAAGCTGGTGAAGCCAAGAAGGGTCTCAAGTACCCAAGTCAGACAAAGAAGGACCCTTCCAGCCCAGGAGAGATAAAGAAGCCAAGTTTCCAACAAGCTAGGTATAGTCAAGAAGAAGACCCACAAGAAAGACATCAAGGCCAAGGTGAGAGTGACAAAACGGAGTGAGGCCAGGAAGGTGTCCCCAAACCAGAGAGCAGGCCAAGAAGGTTCCTGCCGGTACTGCTAAGCTCGGGAGGAAGCCAACAGTCAAAGACAGCTCCAGCAGCCAGGCTCCTCTTTCAATAGATAATTTGGAGGTCGCTAGGAAAAAAAAATATTGAGAATATGAGTTCCAAAATCAAAGCATCCAAGGGCAAAGATGGTGCTACTTTCCCAAGGCCCCTAAAGGGGAAGCCACTCAGGGCACTGGGAAGGAGCCACCAAGGCAGCAGCTCTACCCAAGGACAAGGGCAGCAGTGGGTCCACAGTACACTGGCCAGGAAGACAGAGGTCCAGAGAGCATGAAAAGGCCTGGGCTGCCTGCTGAGGCTTTGTTACCCAAGGTGCCAATCAAGGAGGCAAAATATGAGAACTAGGATCTGGGGAAGAGAACCTGAGATACACCCATTTCAACTTATGGAAACTCCATGAACGTAGAAAAACGACGATAGTTATAGAACAGGGTTATAGTTATAGAACAGTCTTTTGTTCATTGGGTCCAGATGAGTCGTGCTCGATTTGATGGCACTTAATAACATTGTCAATAAAGATTTTTTCTCACTCACACATTTGGAATTTTCAGGGTTTTAATGAATTATGAAGGAGATTAGCACTAAGCATACCTAAGTGTTCTTTTCTCAGTCTCACTCTCTTCCAGCAAAGGTTACCCATGGCCCTGAAGTTGTGAATGCTTGCTCCAGCACAGAGCAATTGCTTTGGCACAAATGAGACTGATAGTTCATCTTGCGTTGTGGTTTTCACGGCTGCTGGGCCCTGAACCTCCCGTTAATGCCAAGGACACATTTATAGTGACTGTTTGGGCATGGCAGAAAGCATACAGATGACTGCCAAAAAAAAAAATCCCCCAAAACCCCAATAAAAGAATCATTCTTTATAGGTTAATATTCCCCAACTCAGATGTGTTTTTTAAAAACATTAAAAAAATTGCTCTAAAAATTATTTTCCTGTCATTACATTAATGGGGCATTTAAAAACAGCTGCAAAGTCACCACAAGGTCACTATTCCAACAAAACACAAACTCACTGCTGTCAGGTCAAGCCAAATTCCTAGTGACCCTTTAGGACAGAGCAGAACTTCCCCACCAGACAAGGTTTAGGCTGTAAATCTTTACAGGAATAAGCTGTGTCAACTTTCTTCCACTGAGTGGCCTACAGGTTTGAAACACCAATCTTCCAGTTGTCAGGTCAACACTTAGCCCACTATGTTTTCAGGGCTTCCATACACCTATCAAAAAAAAAAAATCATACCAAGCCCATTGCTGTTGAGTCCACTTCCACTCAAGAGGACCTTTCATTGGCTTTCAGAAGCCATAAATATCAATGGGAATAGACATCATGCTCTCATGGAGCAACTGGGAGATTGGAATTGTCAACCTTAGCAATCCAACATCTATCTAACCTACCGTACCACCAGGGTTTCTTACAAACGTATTTGTGGCTATTGTCATGTGTCATCAAGAGGGGACACCTGACAGTGAATCACATTGTGTATGGTAGAATGAAACTCTTGCCCAGCTCTGTGCCAACTTCACAGTCTCTACTGTGCTTACGTCTATTGTCCCTGTCAGTGTCAGACCGTCTCTTCGAGAATCTTTTTCTCTTTTGGTGTCTTTCCACTTTTCCAAGCATGATATTCTTTTCCAAAGACTGGCCCCTTCTTGTGACATATACAAAGTATTGGAGACAAAGTCTCTCCACCCTCACTCTTACACAGTGCTCTAGAAACAACTATTGTGTGTTATGTTCTGTGGAGTTGGAACTGACTTGTAGCTGACTCTGCAGTGGGTTTTCAGAGGCAGGAAATAAAATGAAAAGAGATTGTCCATCTTTCTCCCATGGAGCAGCTGGTGGATTTAAACCACATGCCATTGGGTTGGCAGCACAACTCCTTACCACTAGGTCACCAGAGTTCCCTCCAGAAACACCTATTGTTGTTACAACTTTATATGACTTATAGCATTGTTATGAACAACAGTTCTGAACCCTATCCTATCCTGTGCCATCCTCATCATCTCTGACATACTTGAGCCCATTGCTGCAATCACGGTTTTAGTCTGTCCTGTGAAACACCAATTTAAAGGACTAAAATGGGAGCATTGATAATATCAAATGTTGGCAAGAATCCGAGCAACAGGAACTTTTTATTCACTGCTATGGTGAATGCAAAATGGTATGATGACCTTGAAAAGTGATCTGAAAGATTTTTATAAAGCTAAAAATAGATTTACTATATTGTAGTTTATTTGCAGAAGCTGAAGAAGACTTGAAACAGTTACTGAAAAAATATGAAAAGCTACAGCCCTCAATATGGATTACATTTTAACATCATGAAAACAAAATATTTACCACTGGACCAAAAGGCAGAATTGTGATAGATGGGGGTGGGGTGGGGGAATCAAGTTGTCAACAATTTAATTTTACTTGGATTCACAATCAGCAACAATGGTAGGAACAGTCAAGAAATCAGACATGATGCATTGAAAAAAAAATGTACTGTCAAAGTCTTCTTTAAAATGCTAAAGAGTAAGGATGCTTGTTTAAAGAATAAGGTGCACCTGACCTATGCCATGATATTTTCAGTTCCTTTCTATGATTCAGAAGGTTGGACAATGAATAAGGATGACTGAAGAAGAATTGATGCCTTTGAATTTTGGTGATAATAAGAAGAATGAATATCTCATGGTCTGCCAGAAGAACCAACAAATCTATCTTGGAGGAAGTACAACCAGGGTGTTCCTTAGAGACTAGGATGGCGAAACTCTGTCTCCTATACTTTGGTCATGTTGTCAGGAGGGACTAATCCTTGGGGAAAAAACCCACATAATTCTGGGAAAGGTAGAGGATTAGAGAAATTGAGACAGGCTCTCAATTAGAGAGATTGACACAGTGACTGGAACAATGGCGTTGAGCATGGCAGAGATTGTGAAGATGGTGTAGGATTAGAGCCAAGTTCAGATCTGCTCATAGTGTTGCTACAGGCAATAGTTGACCTGTGGGCACCTAACAATAGCTAACAACAATATGGTGTTGGTAGATGTTGTTAAATTGACTCTGTCTCATAAAGACCTTGTGTCCCTGTATTTCCACATTAAAACTTGCATGTAAATATTTATAGCAGTTTTAATAATAATTACCCCAAATTGGAAGCACCTAGTAAACATGTCCTGTGAGGAGGGCCTGAACTGTTTCCTACAGAAGGTCAAGAACTATAATATGCAATATGAATTGAATCTCAACATCAAGAAAACAAAGATTCTCACCAAGTGGGCCAATTGGCAGCACCATGATAGATGCAGAAAAGATTGAGGTTAACACTTTCGGCTTGCTCAGTTCTACAATTAACACTCTAGACAGCAGTAGTCAGGAAATAAAAAAATGAATTACATTAGGAGAATTTGCTTTCAGGGACCTCTCCAGAGTGCTGAAGAGCAATGAAGTCTGTCCAAAGACTAAGGTGCCCTGATATAGGCCATTGTTTTTACAATTACTTTTTATGCACAGAGAGCTGGACCGTGACTAAAGATTACAGAATAAGAATTGATGCCTTTGAATTGTGGTGCTGGAGAACAATTTTGAACATATTATGGACTGCCAAGAGAACTATCAGGTCTGTAATGGAAAGGGTGAAACCAAAGCTGTTTCTTGGAGGCAGGAATTTTGCAGCTTTATATCACATACTTTGAGCATGTTACCAGAAGGGTCCAGTCCTTGGAGAAGGATATCATGCTGGGAAAGGTGGAGGGATAGTGCAGGAGAGGAAGAACCCTGATGAGATGGACTGACACAGTAACTGGGGTAATGAGGGTAGGTGTGTCAGAGGCAGTGAGATTGGCTCAGAAAAAAGCCAGGTTCAGAGCTTTTGTGCATAGGGTAGCAATGAGTCATAGTTGACTCAACAGCACATAACAACAACAATATGTTCTTCAGCGGATGACTGGATAAATGGTATATAATTCAGTGAGTAAAAATGAATTCTAAATCTATGCAGACCTAGAAGAATCTTGAATTCTATTGCTAAATGAAACAAACCAATGTTATAGAGCTGCTTGGTATCTCATTCCAAATATATAACAATCTGGAAAAGGCAAAATTGTAGAGACAGTGAAAAGATCAGTAGTTTCCAGAGTTTTAGAAAAAGGGAAAGAAGTGATATACAGGTGGAGTACTAGATATTTATAGGGCAATTTGGTATGGTATTATGGTGATAGACATTATGCATTCATCAAAACTCATAGTGCTGTCCAACATGAATTGTTAATCCATAGGAATAGAGGCTGATGACTCATAGTACTGCTCAACATAGTTGTTAACCTTAGAGAGCTCAGGTAGCCTAGTGGTAAGAAGTTGTGTTGCAATCTCGAAAGCACACAGTTCAAATCTACCAGCTTCTCCACAGGAGAAAGAGGAGCAGTCCCCTTCGGTGTGATTAACTACCTCTGAAAACTTGCCAGGTTGGTTCTGACTTGATAGCACACACAAGGAAACGTAAGAATCTTGGTTAATAACAATGCATTATGTTGGTCTATTAATTATAGCAAGCAAATTTCAATAATGCAAAACTAGGATTGATGGTATGTAAAACAGGAGTCTGAATTTTCCGTACATTTTCCCTCCTAGTAAATCTAAAACGTCTTTAAGTATAAAGTATGTAATTCCTTTTTTTTAGAGTGGTTTTGTAAGTTAATTCGATTGTAAAACATTTTAGTATATATGAATATGTGTCTCTCAAATATAAATTAAAATCATGCAAAACAAATGAGAGCAGAAAAATAGTATATTCCAAAGTATTTTATTTTTAAAAATTTAGGAAACAGAAGAGGAACTGCTTCCTTTGGGGGTTTCCACATTGGTGTGGAGGGTATGACATGGTGGACCCCCAATCATTAAAGAGGTTGATTCAGAAGTCACTTAGAAAAGCAATGTCCTTTGACCTTTTGAAAACAGAA